TGCTCAACTGAGGGTTTGTTCCACTCCAAGCTTCCTCAGGTGTTTGATTCTTTACAACCAATGTAGGACTCCGATTTAGAACATATGTTGTCCAGTTTATTGCCTCTGGCCATAAAGTCTTGGGAATCCTTTTTTCAAACAACATGCATCGAACCATGTTCATCACTGTTCGATTTTTCCTTTTAGCTACTCCGTTCTGCTGTGGAGTATACGCTGCAGTCAATTGCCTCTTGATGCCATGCTCTGTGCAAAACTCATTGAATTCGAATGATGTGAACTCTCCTCCTCGGTCTGTTCTCAAACATTTTATATGCCCTCCTACTTCTTTCTCAACATAACTCTTAAAATGTTTGAACATGCTTAATGTTTCAGATTTTTCTACTAAAAAATAAGTCCATGCCTTTCGAGTAAAGTCATTAATAAAGCATATAATGTACCTCCTCTTACTATTGGAGATGGGAGAGATTGGTCCGCAGAGGTCTTCATGAACAAGCTGGAGCTTCTCTATGGCCCTCCAATTGCTCTTCTTTGGGATTGAATCCCTATGTTGCTTTCCAATCATACAATTAGCACACACTGCCGACGGACTCTTGAACTGAGGTATCCCATGCACCATCTTCTTGAACTGGAGTGTCCTCAATCCTTTGTAACTCAAATGTCCATAGCGACAGTGCCATAAGTGTGCCAAATCCTGTGTGGAAGTGTAGAGACAAGCTGGCTTTGGAGACAGTGAATTTGCTAGCAACACAAACATCTGATTTTTTGTCATCTCGGTCTGTATTATGAGCCCTTTCCCTGGATGATAAATTTTGAGCTTTCCATGTTGAATGAGAATCGTCAACCCCCTTTCTTGTAGTTGACCAATGCTCAGAAGATTGTTCTTTAGTTCAGGCACAAAAAATACTTCACTAACAACATGTGTAAAGCCACTTACTGTTAATCTCACGGTGCCTTTTCCTAACACAGCCATCCTTGTGTTATTTCCCAACTTTACCCTCTGCCTGAAGTCCTTATTTAGATCACAAAATAGGCTCTTGTCACCACACATGTGGTTGCTACATCTAGAATCTACGAACCAGACATCTTCCCTTCGAGCACCGGTCATCTCCACATATGACATGAGCAACATCTTCTCTTCTTCTCCTAATTCAGCGTAGTTGGCTTCCTTATCCCAACTTGGACACTCAGATTGAAAGTGTCCCAGCTTGTGACACTTATAGCATTCCACTGTTGCTTTGTTATAGGACTGGCGACCTCTCCCTCTTCCTCTGGCTCTGTATGCACCTCAACCCCGTCCTCTTGCACCAAACCTGTCTTCAGAGGTTATCTTGAGTGCTTGTTCTTCTCCTATATGTCGCTGGAATTTTTGCTCATGAACAATCAGAGAACTCTGCAGTTCATCAATGGAAATTTGATCGACGTCTTTGGACTCCTCGATCGAACAAACAACATAATTAAACTTCTTACTCAATGATCTGAGAATCTTTTCCACCACTGTGACGTCTTGCATCTACTCTCCATGTGTTCTCATCTTGTTAGCCACTGACAACACTATTGAAAAATACTCGGAGACTCCTTCTCTAGCCTTCATCTCTAGGGTTTCAAACTCTTTGTGGAGAGCTTGTAAATGTGACCTCTTAACCCTAGCACTTCCTTCAAACTTTTCTTCATAGACTCCCAAATTTGCTTGGAAGTATCCTTCACGAAAATGGTCTCTAATATCGTCCGATCTATGACTTGAAAGATAATTTTTGACTTTCAGATCCTTCAGCTTCAATTCATCTAGCCCCTTTCGCTATGCTTCTGTCTGTGCCACTCCACTCTTTGGGTCAACATAGCTAGCCTCTACAAGCCCCCAACATTCCTTAGATCGCCGAAAATTCTCCATCAACATGCTCCAGTTGTCATCTTTTTTGTTGTTGCAAGAACCTCAAAGACTGTTGCTTTGATTTTGTCAGGCCCAGTGGAGGCTCTGATACCAGAATGTTAGGAATTGAAACACAAAATGAAAAAGTACACAACAATTCTGGGAATGACTTACTTCTTATTGAACAATCTAGGCTTATAAATAGCCTTCTACAATCTTAACAGAATGAGAAAAACTAGCCCACAATTACAACTAATCAACATGATAAGTGCAACTAGAAAAACAGTCAAGAAATACTAAACAAGTACCCTAAAGACTAGGGCTTATTCAAACCGAATGCTTATCTGAATTCCTAACAGAAACCCAAACTTTCTCTTCAGTCCCTACAAGTTGATCAAGAAATTATTATTATTATTGTTTTTTGACATCTCTCATGGCCTCCTTCAACAATTGTGGATGGGTTTGGACATTTTTTGGTTCAACACTAGATTATACAAACATATGAGTCTTTGTAGATACAATAATAGTGCTTTCAAGAATGCAAAATTGTATTATCATTTCACTTGTAACAAAATTTTTATAACTAAAATGGGCATTGAGAAATTTCAATTTTGTCATATTAGTCATCATTTCCTAATTGAAATGGACATATCATTCTTTTCATAAATGCTTATAAGAAAATTTTTGCAATTCATTTCCTAATTAAAATGGACATATCATTTTTTTCATAAATGCTTATAAGAATTTTTTTGCAATTCAGAAGGGTTTTAAGAAATTTCAATTTCATCTTATTGGTTATCATGTCCTAGCCTAAATGGACGTTTCATTCATTGCACAAAAGTTTGTAAGAAAATTCTTGCAGTTAACAAAGCTATTTCCTCATTTCCTAGTCCAAAATGGACAAGTCACTATTGGTTATTCTTTCCACTAATGCTTATAAGAAAATTCTTACAGTTCAGAAAGGTATTGAGAAATTTCAATTTAAATCTTATTACCATCATTTCCTAGTCAAAATGGACATACCATCCTTTTCACAAATTGCTCAAGTTTAAACAGAAGATATTCTCCTCAAGCTCAATTATTCTTATGGGCAGAAGGATTCTCCCCATGAAAGTTTGATGTTAAAAGCATATCGAAGGCAAGAATAATTTCCTCCCCACTACTATTTATCTTTTCTTTCCCATTTTCTTTTTCCATTGTTCCACTTGTGATACCCATAAGATGTTAATCAGCCCCCAAAAATCCAGATATACAACGATCAAACAAATTACTTCCCCTTTTTCAAAATTAAGAGAGAGAGAGAGAGAGAGAGAGCATATGTGACATATTATAAACAAATAAATACAAGCGAAAGAAAACAGACAAACTCACTTTTCTTCAGTGACTTTGGTTGCGGGGAGGTAATTCTTAGTAGGACGAAGAGCTAACTTCAATTATGCAAGAGCACTTGCATACCTACTCTTTACCAACAGTATGGTAGTCCAAGGAGACAGAAGCCAAACGGGTAATTCCTTACGTGTTACAAGCTCACCTAGAGACCTAGTCAACAGAACGTATGATACATTAGCCAAAAAAAAAACTGTACAGTTATTGAACATATACGTGTAAATATCGAGTCCCCAAATCACTACCAAACCATTTGCATCATCGACCTTTCAATGAAACAAAAACCAGCTTTTGTCAAAGGTTCATTTGATTCATTTTGTAAAGAGTGGGGAAGCAGATAAGGGTGGGCGCGGATCGATTGCGGTCACGAAACCTCCAATCCGCCATCCGTCTGCCAGATTGGCAGATTGAAGAAAATCAATCTGTATTTGTCCGCCAATCCGACGGATGCGGATTGAGCGGATGAGCGGATGGATACGAATTGGTTTGGCGGTTTAAAAATTTATAAATTTTCAACATAAAATTGTGCACTTTCTAAAAAATAAAACCTGAACATAATTCAATTGTGCATTGCACTTCCTAAAATACTGCCAAAACATAGGTACGCAAAAGATAGTGCGCAAGTGCACAATTCATATATTTGATATATTGCCAATCTGCCAGACCAAAAACAAATAATTCAATTCACATTGGTTTTTAATTCATATATTTTTAATTCACATTCAATTCAAAAACAAATAATTCAATTTATAAAACAAAATCAGTCTCGAAGCAGTTCCGAAATCACTCAATTTATAAAAATAAATCAGTTCCTAAATCAATCCATTTATTTTCAGTTCCTAAATCACTTCCTAAATCAATTTATAAACACAAATTTTTTATGGAAGCGCTGTAAAACTAAACCAATCAGTTTATAAAACTAGATCAGTTCCAAAGCAGTTCCAAAATCAATCAATTTATAAAACTAAATCAGTTCCTAAATCAATCAATTTATTTTTAGTTCCTAAATCAATTTATAAACACAAATTTTTTATGAAAGCACTGTAAAACTAAATCAATCAATTTATAAACTAAATCAGTTCCTAAATCAATCAATTTATTTTCAGTTCCTAAATCAATTTATAAACACAAATTTTGTATGGAAGCACTGTAAAACTAAATCAATCCATTTTTAAAACTAAATCAGTTCCGAAGCAGTTCTGAAACAATTCCGAAATCAATCAATTTATAAAACTAAATCAGTTCCTAAATCAATCAATTTATAAACACAACTTCCTAATCAGTTCCGAAGTAGTTTCTCAATAAAACTAAAATTGAACACAACACATACAACAAACGAAATTGGACCCAAAATTCAAGGCGAAAATGTTGAATAAGAGGTAGAAAACAACACATGCACAGAGTGTGACATAACAGAGAACAGGTGAAGACAATAAGAGGAAGGAAAAAGAGAAAAACTGAAGAGGAGAAGAGAAGAAGAGGAAAAAAGAAAAGCAGAGCATACCATCAGTGTAGAACAGGAGCAGAGACGAGCAGAACGTAAGAGAATATAGTTCGATGTAGATTGATAGCCAATCGCCGTTCAGTGTAGTAGATCATCGGTCGACTGTTTAGTGTAGACCGCTAAACGAGGACGAGGACAACGATGGGTAGGGTTTTGGGGGTAGAGAGAGAGAGAGAGAGAGCCAAGCAAGAGACGAGAGAAAGGGTGAGTGTGTGTCTGTCTAAAATGAGGAACTAGGTTTAGGGTAAACTAAAGAAAAGGGGTGGCTGAGGCGTAAAAAAACACGCACAAAAAAAGGGGGGCCATGGTCGAGGTTGGGTTTTGTGGGCAAAAGGGCAGATCACTCGCCACCCGACCCGAACAAGAAAAATCAAGAATTCTGAACCCGCAGCCGTGCACTGCATACCACGCATCCACCCATTATGGGTCGGGTCAGGTCGGGCCGGGCGGATTTGACGGGTCGTTGGATCCACTGCACAACCCTAGAAGCAGATGGCCTGGTTTAAGCAGCTACAACATTTGCATTGCTAGCATCTCCTGCTTTTCGTCTCCGAGGCCTTCGTGCACTGCTTGGATTGCTGCGAGCATTTCCTGTTTCCTTCGAATCACAAAGTTGTTCCAATTCTTTCACCACCTCATCCATGTTTGGCCTGAACTTGGATTCTGTTGACAGGCATCGCAATGCGAGGTTCGCTGCCTTATAGGCTATATCCAACGAGTACTGGCCTTCGAGACGGTTATCGAGGATGCAGAAGATTTTACGTTTGCTGGCCAGGTAGGGTTTGGCCCATTCCACCAGGTTGTGTTCACCGGATGGTCTGTTCTTGTCCACAGCTCTTTGGCCAGATAGCATTTCAAGGAGCACAACTCCGAAACTATAAACATCACTCCTGGCAGTCAAATGACCTAGAATAGGTGAAAAAAGTTGAATGAATACCTAACAAAAGAAAAATATACAACAAATACATGGAAACCATGAATGGACATTTATAGCAGATAAAAGGTTTGAAATGAATGGTCTTTTAAAGTGGAATCGGGGAAGCTAATTAGAGAAATTATGTCAGTTAAGTCAACAGTGTTTTGCCAAAGGCATCACTCCCTATCAAGTTCAGTCCCCAAGCAAAAACATTGAGGTCCAAAAACACAGTCGAAGAGAGAAGTGGCATTGATCCAGTACTCTCACTTTACTCTGCCCTAACTTCATCTTTTTAGGGCCATTTTGGGCATGTGTGCATAGGGCACAAAGTCAGGATCTGGTGGACCTTTACCCTATAATCTCACATGCACAAAATAAGAAAACCTTCTTGCAAGTAACATGGAAGAAAACTAGTTTAGTTGTAGTGCGCTGGTGCTTTACTCTTATAATAAAAAGTAAAGGCTCTTCCCATGTTCCATGAATCTACAACTCTCTTTGTCTTTTGATCTGTTTTGTCTGAAACTAGGTTTGATTTACTATTTTCAGAGAAAAGAGGGGTTGAATTAGGTCGATGGCTAGCTTACAAACTTAAATCCCCAAATATGTTGGAGGGTGTACTCCAATAAGGAGGGTATTCTGATATAAACTGATAAATGGTCCATATCAGTGTCCCTTTTGGATTCAAAAAATGAAAGATTTTCAAAGGGTAAGCAAGGCGGGTCACAAGGAAAGAGAAACATGAGTCGGAAACAACATATATAGAGATCTTTAAATAATAATAAAAAAAGTCACATGTATTGAAAATCATACCGGTGGCTAGATATTCTGGAGCTGCATATCCATAGGTTCCCATGACCCTTGTGGAGACATGGCTCTTGTCACCTGTCGGCCCATTCTTGGCCAACCCAAAATTAGAGAGCTTTGCATTGTAATTCTGACAATATATGCTAAAAATTTGTATCAGAACAGTGCGCGATGATAAATAAGCTTTCTGGAATTGGAAAAATGCATGGTAGCAAAAATTTGCTTCACAGATACATACTGAATCAAGCAATATATTAGAAGTTTTGAAATCCCAATATATGACTTTTGTTTCAGCACTGTGAAGAAAAGCAAGCCCCTTTACAGCACCAATTGCAACCCTTAAACGAAGGTTCCAAGAAAGAGGTTGGAAATAAGAACCTCCTGTTATACAACAATTTAATGTCTCATTACAAAAATTTTCATATAGAAAAAAAAATGGTTTAGAATTTCAAAGAACTCACTCCTGAACAAATGATTTTCCAAGCTGCCCCTAGGCATGAATTCATACACCAGAAGCCGGTGCTCATCCTCCAAACAATAGCCAATGAATTTCACAAGGTGAGGATGACAAAACTGCCCCAAATAATTCACTTCCGCCTGCAAGACTGTTGGCTAAAATGTTGGCTTATTTTTCCTACGAAGGAAAATATCATAAATGCGAGCGTGCCAGCAAGGATTGAAAAATCCTTACAGATTAAATTCAAGCCAATTATCAAGCGATTGTGTTGACGGTTCTTTTGCCTCAACGAAGAGGACTTCAAGATTGCCAAGTGTAAAGAAAAGAAAAATTAAAAGAAGAATGGGGAACGGAGAAAGATGATTGAGTGAACAATCGAAGTAATAATTACTTACCTCTACTCCTATGCTTCGAAAAGAAAGTGCATAAAATGCTTCGAAATGGAAATGCTGAAAATAAATGCTTCGAAATATAAATCTATGTTAAACTACTCCTAAGATAAGGAAAATAACAAGAAATATTGAAATCAAGTGTCTTTGATTATGAATTCTGTATCCTTTACAATGTAGCCATTAATGGCTATTTATAGAAGAAAAAATACAGCAATAACTACTTAGTAACTACCCATTTCTTCCATCTTCATTCTTGTCTTGCCATGTGTCATTCCACTCATCCACTTTGTCCTCCCACTCATCCACTTTATCCTTCATATTCTCCATTATCTCTATAACTTCTTTTAACTTCCAAATGAATAAGAGGATGCCACGTGTCCTGCAATTATATAAATAATAAATAATAATAAAAATTGCAGATTTATGGTGTTAACAAAGACCAATACGACAAACAAAGAAACATGCATATCAGAGTGGCATAAAACAAGCAGACATGAATAAAATATAATTCTAATTGGCAGCAAAAAAATAAACTCACCAGCCACTCCTTGCGACCTTGGAAACCTTCTTGGTTAAGCCTTTTCACAGCAATGACTATGCCTGTCCCTGGCTTTGAAGCAGTAAAAGAGTTCTCATCGATCCAACCTTTGAAAACTGAACCAAAACCACCTTCTCCTAACACACTATCTGGGCGGAAGTTCCTTGTGGCCATTTTAAGATCAGAAAAACTAAAGCTCTTCAAATTAGTAGACTGCAAGATTTCGCCCTCACTCCGAGGAGTCAGAGGCACAGAAACCGCTGAGCCTTTACTGACCGAACCACTTAGATCAGTCCCCTCTGTGCTAACATGTTTTGAATTCACCCCTAGACAATACCATCGTATGTCAGCTCTCTTGGTGACATTTGAATTACAATTGCCTCTATCAAGGGCATCTCTAATCCTTCACCAATAATTTGATGAATGACAAGATATAAGTGAGCTCCAACCATATCATCAAACTAGTATCATGTTGGAAAAAATAATTTTTGGGGACTTTAATTTAATATTGAAGTTTGGTGACTTTAATTAAATATTAAAGTGGGTCCTAACCATTTTTTGTGTTGGGTCCAAGTGAGCCAAAAACCATTGGGTTTTGAATAAGAAATTGCCAAGAAATTACTTCATGATGTTAGATTCTTGAATAGGATTTTAAAGAATATTTAAATCTTTTTTCTTGGCTAAAGGGTGTGAATCCTTTGGGCATCCATACTTTTCATTTTGTGGAAAGGGGCTATGGATGCTTGGTGTTTTAATGACTAGCCTTAAAGGCTAGAAGCTTTTCCTCTCTCCCCTATACATGTATAAATTGAGACCCTCCTGTCAAGTTTCTATATAGAAATTTTTGTTTCCATTTTACAAGTCAGTTTGCTTGATAGTTCCTATTGTGAGAGAGTGCTGCCATTGTTTTGTTCGCTAAGCTAGATAGATAGTGCTTCTGCCGTAGCTGGTTTTGACCGTCGTATCCTGGGAGACAGACGCCGGGTTTCCTCAAGCACTCGACCCGTGAGGCGGCGAAATCTGTTTTAAGGAAACTGCTTCCGTGCAGGCTTCGGTTTTGTCTCTTTACCCTTTATTGTTTTTTGTGTATTTCTGTTGAAATTTAGTTGTAATTATCAGCATATGTTCTTGGTATATAATTTGTTTTCTTCATAAATCTATTTATTTAATTTCACAATTTTGAACAACAAAATTGACTCATGCCTCCTTTTCTTATATAATAACATAATAGCCCCACTAACTTTTTAATTGGTTTCTCATGCACGGGAAATATTTTATGTAACAAATATGTCACATGAATTGAGATGATGTGTATTCTTCTATTCATTAATTGATATATGATTAAAATAAAATTTTAGAAGTTACATTTTGCTCAACCCGAAATGCTGAGTATTTAACCATATGATATATAATTATAAGTCATCATGTACAGATATAGAAAGTGAAAGATAAGATATAATCTGTATTTAAAAAATCTAGAGGGGGTGATGATCGTCCTTGCTTGCCACCCCGTTGGTCCATCTTTATGCATGTTTTTTCTTATTTATTTATTTTTTATCAAAGAGGTAATTTATGATGTCAGCATAACACCACTAAAGTCAAATAGTCAACTTTTTTTTCCAAGTAGTTGAACTGCACCCCTCTTACAGTTTGGTGAACTACACCAGTTTATTATGCATGTAGAGGTGTATCCTAAAACACTTATTAATAGCCTATGCACCCAGCTTATGAAAAAAGAAAAAGAAAAAAGAATAATGTAAACTGTTTGCCTAACTTTAGATTTCAAATCTAGAGCGTCTAGGAAAACTGATATATGAAATTTTTGCTGTCAAAATAGATTAGATTTACTGATATAAGAAATATAATTAGGGCAGAACAGCCTAAATCACAAAGCAAGTCGTGTTTTTTTCCTTTTTATAAATAAAAATTGTGAGTTCCAGAGGACCAATCATGTTGTCTTGGAAGTAGCATATGGTCTTTATTAGAAAGAAGATATATTTCAAACATAGGTGCAATCGAATTAACAACCTAATAAACCAATATGAGGGTTTGTTTGAGAGTCTTTAAGGAAATTTCAATAATTTTATTGTGTTCTATAAGTATGTGGAAATAAGTATCTATGATTATGATGAACAGTTTCAAGTGTTTTAATTTTGTCAAAGCCCATCTCGAAGCATAGAATCGTTGTTTTGTTTTTTTTATAAAAAAAATGGTTGGTGGTATGGGATCATTCACTTATTGATCATGTTTAATTTTTCTTTCCATTCAACACTCCGGTCTTCAAGTAGCATCGTGGTGTTCACACTTCACACAAAAGCCAAACTTATATTATCATAGCAATTCATGTAGAAAAAAAATAAAAAATAAAAAACATAAGGAAGAAGATAAAGGAGGCACTTTTAAAAGAAAATCTTCAATTAAAATACATAAAAAGTTCATAAAACATAATAATAAGACGCAAACTAAACCCAAACACTAGGGACAACACAGTTGCGATAAGAATTGCAATTTTTTATTTATTTTTTTGATGTGTGAAAATGTGAAGCTAAAATTACCCTCTCCTAGAAACCAGACCCAGAAAACAAATTATCTACCATACAGTGTCCTCTACAACGTTATGACACCACCATCCAGTGTTTTCACCAATGGTCTGACACGACCATACAGTGTCTCCTATCCTCTTTTCTTTTATGTATTCGTCTATTTTCTTGTTTTGTTACTCTCTCCAAACTCAAGTTGGTTAGTTCCTATCCCCTTTGAGTTTGCGGGGGGCTGTTAAAACCTATCACCTACTTCACCCACTTAAACCTACTCTACTAAACCTAACCCACTACACCACTACCACCTCCACTTCACCTACTCCTTACCTACTACACACTCACCCTCTTCTATATATAGGAATCATGAATCATTGTAATAAATATAACATTATGATCAATCAATAATTGTTAGAATTTACCATCACCTACCACCACTACCACCTCACCTACTCCACTAAACCTAACACACTCTACCACTACCACCTACCACACTTCTCCTACTCTCCACCTACTCCCAAACACACTCCTATATAATAGGAATCTTTGTAATTGTAATATACAACAATATCAATCAATAATACATCAATTTATTTTAACTTGGTATCAGAGCAATAAGATTTAGGCCTATACTCCATTCTTTCCGGCAGGCAGCCGGCCGGCAACTTTGCCTTCGCTGCCTGCTGGAGTTTTTCAACACATACCAGATCACTCTGCATGTGCTTCCTCCCCAGCTACTGTCCAAGCACACACACAAACACTCGACATAACCCCATCCCGCATCTTCTACGACTTCCAGCGCCGCTGCCATTGATTCTATGGGTGGTGATTTGTCAATCAGGTTGGATTTAATAGAATGAGAAACCAGCTTTGCTCCATGATTGCCACCAGCCTCTGATATCCTGTTGTGGACCCCCAACCCACACGTAGTAGCCCTTGGGCTTGTCCCCGACCCATACCCTGTGATTTCCACTAAAGCTGCATTCACACAATCAAATACCAGCTTCCGGCTTGATCTCCTTTGCCTTCGCTTCGCCTCATGGATTATCTCCTTGTCGTTCACTTCAATATATTTGTCTCTCAATGATGGGTCCAATGGGCTTTCGGGTGAGTGCCATCTGGCAAAAAATGAGTCGGACTGTACCTCACCATCGAGGCCAACTGCTGATAATAAGGTTTGGGCAAAGAAGAGCCATTCCCGTTCTACCTCCTCAGTTCCTTGGGAGACCGATGAAGGTTTCAGTGGGTAAGAAGTGGCTATCTCTACACTCTCCAGATCGGCAACAAGGAATTCTACTTTCTCCTCCCCGTTCGGAGCATCCTTGGCGGCCCGCTCGGGCCTCGCCACCATGGCGCCGTGGCAGCGGCGCACCATCACCTTCTGCCCCACCGTTGACCTGGACCGAGACAACCGCACGACCATCCCTGCCCGTCGAAACACGCAGAGAACGATCCTCTACTGCTCTGCAACGTCCGAAAAGAACCCACAGGAGCTGTTAATCACGCTCTGCTCATGCGGTCCTGATTCATCAACCAGACTTTGGTTCCTATCTCCTGAGAACTCAAGGATACAGCTGCACTTTGGTTCCTGATTGTCACTCTCGTTTTTTTTCAAACCCCTTTTACTTTTCTTCTCTTATTTCTTTATTTTTTCTTTTCCTTCCTTTACCACTCACCCATGTGATCCCCTCCACCCAAACCCAATAAAATAAATCAATAAATAAGCCACAGGCCATTCACTTCACTTTTCTTGTTCTTATTATTTACACTTTTTCTCCACCCAAGACCATCGTCACATTTTTCCACCGCCCACTTTATTTTTTAATCAAACTTTATTTTTTATTATCACTTTCTTTTTTCTTATCACGCTTCATTGGTGCTCTTTCCCACTCCCACCTTTATTATTAAAAAAAAAAAAAAAACAAAACAAAACAAAAATTTCCAAACACCATTGCTGTTTTTCACAAATCCGTGTGATAAAGATTTGCACACCAAAACTTACCTTATTTTATTCATCTCAGGGATCCACCCCGATCACAATTACTCATAAAAAATAAAAAAAAATAAAAAAAAAAAACAAAAACAACCAACAACCAACAACACAACAAACCAAAACACAACACCAAAAGAGTTGTTTTCTTTTCTGCAAATGGCCACCCACCGACCTACTCTGCCGCCGGTCTCTTCTTTTTGCCTCCGTCATGGGCGGTCCTTGACGGTGCTGCCTCTGTGCTTCCTAATCCACCAAGCACATTTACTTCCCCTTGCTCCTCCACTGCAGCATATGGCGTCCCTCCAAATCGGAACATCACGGTGGCCTTCCGCTTCAGCTCCTTATTTTCCGCCTTTAGCACACATATCTCTGCTCGCGCTTCCTTATACATGCGCTGGAGCAGCGCCAGTTGGGCGGTTAACTGCTGCACCTCATTTGTCCTACTTTGCAGCCGGTGCAACAAGTTTGTGACCGCAGTCATGGTCTCCACACATGACTTCAATTATACTGATTGGCTTCAATGTCAGTTTGCACTGCCATTCTTTGCTCCACCGACCACATCGGAAAGTTCAACGGAGCAAACTCCAGGGCGCCACAGACCGCATCGGAAAGTTCAACGGAGCAAACTCCGGGGCACTTGGTTGAGGTTCCAGTGTCACCACCAGTTATCTCTCTTGTTGACTCGTTGAGGTCGGGAAAGAGAGTGAGCAGACTACGGGAAGATGAAGCCATTTTCTGGGCCACAGAGTATTAAGCAGTCCACGGGAAGACGAGGACGAGGCCATTTTCTGGGCAACAGCGTGTTACCGACTATCTCTCTCAGCAAAACGAAGAAGAGTTTTTTTTTCAGAGGTTTTTCGCAGGTTTTCTCTGCCTCAGCCTCAGCATCACCCTTGGTTAAATAGCCAAGGAAGCCACGCGCATCGCGCGCCTCTTGACAGCCGACAAACGGGCACGCAAGTCAAGGCACTCACGTGCCTCGCCATGATGCATCCGGCACACCTTTTGATGAATTTGGCACGCCTTTTTATGGCACGCCTTTTGACAAAATTGGGCACACCTTTTGAGGGTGCAACTTTTACAACGGTCCGACATGATCCCATAAACTGTCCCGACATTTGATTCCGGTTAGCATACAGTGTCCTCTACAACGTTATGACACCCCCATCCAGTGTCCTCTACACCGTTATGACACCACCATCCAGTGTCCTCTACACCGTTATGACACCACCATACAGTGTCCTCTACCACGTTATGATACCACCATCCAGTGTCCTCTACAACGTTATGGCACACCATACAGTGTCCTCTACACCGTTATGACACCACCATGCAGTGTCCTCTACCACGTTATGGCACCACCTTTCAGTGTCTTCACCAATGGTCTGACACGGCCATACAGTGTCTCCTATCCTTTTTTTATTTTTATGTATTTTCTTGTTTTGTGCCTCTCTTCAAATTCAAGTTGGTTAGTTTCTATCCTCCTTGAGTTTGCGGGGGGCTATTAGAATTTACCACTCACCTACTACCTTCACCTACCTACTCCTCACCTACTACCTTCACCTACCCTCCACCTACTCCTCACCTACTCCCAAATCCTCTCCTATATAATAGGAATCCTTGTACTTGTAATATACACATCAATCAAGAAATCAATAATAATACATCAGTTATTTTACACTCCATGCGGTTATACTGTGATAATAAGACCGCTATCAACATCACTCACAATCCGATTCAACATGACAGGACAAAGCATGTTGAGATTGATCGCCATTTCATTAAGGAGAAACTCACTAATAGCACCATATGTACTCCCTTTGTGCAGTCTCGAGAACAATTTGCTGACATCCTCGCCAAAGGAGCTGGGAGTAAGCCATTTCATAACATCTTAGGCAAACTAGGCATGAGAGATATCTTTGCACCAACTTGAGGGAGAGTGTTAGCATTATATATTATTATTTGGGTTATTATTTTGTAATTATTCTATGCCTTAGGGCTCCCTTGTAATTATTAATCTTCATTAATATAAATAGGGGATGATATCCTAATCATCTCTTTATCTTGAAATTCCCTAAAAATAACATGACTAACTATACTATCTCTATTTTATAAATATGAATTCAAGTGTAGAATTCACAATACTAAGCAGCGGGATTCTACTGTTGTCACTTTTTTCCATACCCTTCGTGCTTTATGGAAGGAATTGGATCGCTATCAGACACTTGCGATGTTTAGTGCCGCAGATGCATTGAGATTGCAAAAGTTGATTCAGCAAGAACGGATTATTGAGTTTCTTGCTGGGTTAAATCCCATGTATGATCAACTCCATATCCAAATTTTGGGTAGAGAGCCACTTCCATTTCTGCAAGAGGTGTTTGCTTATGTTCAGCATGAGGAAAGCAGACCCGAGGTTATGCTACACCCTCATCTCCCAGAGAGTTCAATTCTTTTTTGTACTACTCCTAGGGATTCTTAGTTTGGTGGCAAGAAATCTGATAAGGGTTGGTCTGGTGATTCTTTCTAATGACAAGGATAAGCTTTATTGTGATTTTTGTCACCACTCACGATATGATCAGGAGCACTATTGGAAACTTCATGGTTATCCTTCGTTAGGGGGTAGAGGTGGTCGCACTATTGGTCGAGGTGGTTCTTGTGCACATCATACTACTATTCATGAGTCTTCTACTACTGAGTCTACCTTAGCTATCCCTCTTGTGTGTGGTTCCTCCTCTGAATCCATCGTTCTTACTAGTGAGGAAGTGGAGACCTTCCAACGTCTAATGTCACAAATGGGTACTCCCACTGCATCTTCTGCTTTTGCCCAATCAAGTAAGACTCTTATGGCATTGAGTGCTTCGTGTCAATCCCTTTCCCTTCCATGGATCATTGATTATGGGGCTTCTGATCATATGATTAGTTTGGCCAATTTGTTCTCTTATACTAATTGTTGAGGACAACAAGTTAAAATAATTGATGGTTCTCTTTCATCTGTGTCTGGCAAAGGTTCACTGTCTATTACTCCTTCAATGCTGCTTTCTTTTGTATTGCATGTTGCTAACCTATCTAACAGTCTTCTTTATGTTAGTAGTCTTACCAAACAACTTAATTGTTACGCGACCTTTTTTCCCACTCATTGTGTTTTTCAGGATCTTGTCATGAGGAAGATGATTGGCAGTCGTAAGGAGAGAGCCAATCTTTACTTTCTAGACTCCCAAGGGTTGCCTGATGGTCCAGTTTGGCAAGCTCATTGATATGTGACGTGCTAATTCAAAGGGGCAGTTGTGGCTTCTACATCGGCGATTAGGCCATCCTTCATTTCTTTTGTTAAATAAATTTTTTCCTTCTTTACTTTTTCAATTAGACGTTTCTAAATTGGTTTGTGAACCTTGTGAACTTGCTAAACACCATCGTGTGTCTTTTCTTATCAGTAATAATAGAAGTACCTCTCCTTACACTATAATTCATACTGATGTTTGGAGTCCTATTAGAGTTGTTGGTTTGTCTGGTTTCAAATGGTTTGTTACTTCCATTGATGATTGTTCTTGTGTTACTTGGGTTTATCTGATACAAAATTTTAAGTGTTTTCTTGTTTTTAGCTCTTGCACAAAATGATACTCACCCAATTCAATACCCCTATTCGCATTGTTCGTTTTGACAATGGGGGCCTCTTGATTTTTTTGGGGCCACTGTTCCTATTTTTAGGGGCCTCTTGCAGTGACACCCCCTAACAAAATGGTATTGCTGAACGGAAGAATTGTCACCTTTGAAGCATGGGTATTTCGACAAACATACCGTACCCGTACTGGATACTTATCGGCATATAGTATTTTGTATGATACTTCTGCATATGTACCGAGTACACAAAACACGTACCTAAATTTTTTCTTCTTAATTTTTGATATACTCAGATGTACCTAGTATATATCAAAGTTGTATCGTACCTCAGTCGAAACAATATTTTCTTCTACTTTAGAGATAAAATTCCTTGCACTGGACTTCTTTTTTATTTTTAGTTTTATGCTTAGCATGATTTTAAAATTGAGCTTTTGTTTGTAAATTATTTAATATAATGACATTTAATTTTCGTTTATACCTTTACTTTTGACACTAAATGTTAATTGTAGGTTGGATCTTAACAAATTAAATCATTTAATCAATTTTTGCATTACTCTAAATTAAAATATATATATATTTTTTTTTATAAACGCAGCAAGCCCAAGTCGTATCCGTACCCTACTTTTTTGAATTTTACCATATCAATATACTCATATCATATCAGTACCAGTACCAGTATCCGTGCTTCATAGATCGTCACCTCATTGAAGTTGATAGGGCCTCGCATTTTTCTACGAATGTTCCCCAAGTCTATTGGCCTGATGTTGTCCTCACCGATGCCTATCTTATTAACCTCATGCCTTCTAGAGTCCTAGGTTTCCAGTCACCCAATGAAACTTTATCCACCTCCTCCGCCTGCTTCTCCTTCTCCACCCTGTTTTTAGTTCCTCCTCTTGTTCCATAGTGTCTACGAGGTAAGCTTGATCCTCGGGCCACCAAATGCATCTTTGTTAGTTATTCTCCCATTCAAAATGTTACAAGTGTTATCATCTTCCTTTATGTAAACGGTTTGTCTCCATGGATGTAACCTTCTTTGAAGCTATTTATTATTACCCGCCGAAGTCTTCTCTTCAGGGGGTGCATTTGAGTGCAGCTCTGTCTCCTCCTATGCTACCTGTTGTGTCAATATATCCAATGGATCAAGGTTCTAAGGAACAAAAGACTTCTATGGATAAGAAAAATGCTCATAACCATGATATATTTCCTAGGAAGTTGGAAGTATACTCTAGACAACAGAAGGATAAGATTGTCTCTCTTCCATCTCCTTGCCAATCCTGTTTGTGTACCTAGTTCTGAACTCTCTAATCATGAGCTTATTCCTTATGTTGAATCTGATCTTAATGTTCCTATTGCTCTTCATAAAGGTGTGAGATTATGTACTCAATATCCTATTTGTTTCCTTGCATCATCTTTCACCACTTATTGTGCTTTTGCATCCCTACTTTCTTCTGTGTTTGTTCCTCAAAATGTTCAAGAAGCACTTAATGATCCTAATTGGAGAAATGCTACGTGTTAAAAGATGAATGCTCTAAAGAAAAATAATACCTGGGAGTTGGTTGAATTATCTGACGGAAAGAAGGTGGTTGGATGTATGTGGGTGCTCACTATGAAACACAAGGTGGCTGGTTCGGTTGAGAGATATAAGGCCAGGTTAGTGGCCAAGGGATTTACTCAAACCTATGGAATTGATTATCAAGAGTCCTTTGCACCAGTAGTAAAGATGAATTCCATTAGAGTCATTCTTTCATTGGCAACTAACCTGGGTTGGCCTTTTCAGTTGAGAGATATAAGGCCAGGTTGATGTAAAGAATGCCTTCCGTAATGGTGACCTAGAAGAGGAGTTGTATGTGGATATCCCTCCTAGATTTCCGCTTCCTAATAATAGTGGAACGGTTTGCAGGCTAAAGAAGTCGCTATACGGTTTGAAGCAATCATCGAGAGCTTGGTTTGAGAGATTTACCAAAGTTATGCTCAGATTTGGGTATTGTCAATGTCAAGTCGATCACACCTTGTTTGTCAAACATTCCTCACACGAGAAGATAACTGTACTGATAGTGTATGTCGATGATATTGTATTGACTGGGGATGATATAGCTAAGATGGAGAAATTGAAAAATTCATTAGCTAAGGAGTTTGAGATAAAGGACTTGGGGGAATTAAAGTACTTGGGTATTGAGGTTGCTCGATCTAGACATGATATTTTCATTTCTCAACGCAAGTATGTGCTTGATCTTCTAAAGGAGACCAGGATGTTAGGATGTAAACCTGTGGACACTCACATTGAACAAAATCATAGATTGGGGAATAGTGAAAGTGATACTCCTGTTGAGAGAAGTTGTTATCAGAGACTCGTTGGTAAACTTATTTACCTTTTACTCATTCATCCTGACTTAGCATATGCAGTCAGTGTGATTAGTGAGTTTATTCATTCACCTCGTGAAGTTCATATGGAGGCTGTGTATAGAATTTTGCGGCACTTGAAGTTAACTCCTAGTAAGGGCATAATGTTTGAAAACATGATGATTTGCAGATAGAAGCTTATAGTGATGGATCCTAACCGTACAGCGACTTCTTTAGCCAATGAATTTGTACAAATTCGGTACAAATTATAGTGATGGTTCTCCTCTCTTGACAAATTCGGTACAAATTATACCCTCATTCAGTTTCTCTTCTATTATGTTGAACTAGATTGTGTGCAATATTAATTGCATCTTTATTGTCAGAACATAGTTTCATAGAAATTTTCTGATCAAAACCTAACTTTTTCAAAAGTGACTTCAACCACATCAATTCACATATTCCATGAGCCATTGCTCTAAATTTTGCCTCCGCACTCGACCTGGCAACCACAGATTGCTTCTTGCTATGTCATGTCACAAGATTACCGCCTACAAAGGTGCAATATCCTGAAGTGGATTTTTGGTCAGTGATGGATCCTGCCCAATCTACAAATCATCAGTGATGGATCCTGCAAAGGTTTGCAGATAGAATTTTGGTCAGTGATGGATCCTACCCAATCTACAAATAGCAGAGGCCGATATTTGATCGAGCTAGTGGGGTGCTTCCCCTCTCGTAACTAAGTTCCCACGCCGAGACACTTTGGTGATGACGGATAAGTGGCTTTTGGTATGAGTCTTGGGTTTCCTAAATTTTTCAAAAATATTTAGGTGGCGACTCTGAAATTTGTTAAAGCAGTCCATTTTTGGCATTTGATTCAAAATCAATTATCCAAAAGAATTGCAGACTTGGACTTGTTTTGTGTTTTCACTGTTTCACATTGCACCTGTAAAATCATATTCAGAACCACGGAATCCGAACTGTAGGGCTAGTCGTATCCGAAAGGAGCACGAAAAGCAAGCTACATTGTCCATGTCCACTTTATAAAACAAAATTCCCTACTTCCATGTTATTTGTTGGTGTGGTTTTTCTTTTCTTCAACCGAGTGTCCAGACCAATTAAATTACTTTTGGAGCTTGAGTTGTTTTTTTTTCCTCATTATGAATTAAGGTTTTATGATGAGTAATGCTAGATATTTTAAAAGTTTTAGTAAATTTGTTTTTTTAAAAAATTTACTAAATGTTTGATAAAAAATTTAATGAAAATTTTAAAATCTCCAATATTTTTCTTTTATGATAATTGTTTAGTTGTTGGACTATTATTGAATAGATTCATACAAGGGATTTTTATTGATAAATCCCATTTAAGAGTATTCTAACTCAAGGAGTCTATGAAAGAAATTTATAACCCACTTGTATTTATACTTTTATTCCATAAGGTCATTTTTCTTTATTTATATTATTTTCTTAGACTCTTATACCCTTATATTTTTCTTTAGCAAAATGTCTGTTGTATATATCTGTTCATATCATTGTAAGGGCTATAGCCCAATCAACTTTCCCCAAGTGATCCCTGTCAATAGAGGAGGTGGAAGGTGTAAGAACCCCCCCTGCCGCGGCCGCCCGCCCGCCTGCCCACCCGAAAGTCTCCCTTTGGCTCTTGTCTTGAAATCTAGCATTGATGTAATTCTTAACTGGAGGAAGAATTAGGCCAACCAGTTTCCACTTTGGCCAGCTCATCTAGTGTCTGCCCAGTTATCTCCCCCAAGAACAAGATAGGCAGTTTCTGAGAAATGCTCCCCTGAGCAATTCTGGATAGATGAATAAGCTAGCTTGTCTATCTAATTCAGAATGTAAAGACCATGTTCCTCTCTACCACTGCTAATCCTTTTCTTCGTGATAAGGTCCTGAAAAAGACAATGATTAGGAAAAAAATACGACTCAAAGATGAAAGATTAACACTAAATTAGGAATATGGAGTACAAAGGATAAAAGAAGGGAAGAGGTAGCATGAATTAAACCTTTCCCTGACACAGAAGAAATAGTACCATCAGCAATGCGCACTTTTTCCTGACCTGGGGAGGGGTTATACTCTGAAAACAAATGAAAGGAACTAGACATATGGTCGGAGGCACCCGAATCAATAATCCATGGTACAGTAGTATGAGATAACAATGCACATGTGGAGGAAGCCAAGTTACTGGAATTGGAAAATGAAGAAGAGGATACACCTGTGGAGGCTCGATAGTCTAGCAAGTGGCGAAGAGCAATCTCAAAATCAAAGGCAGATAACCTTGAAACATCAGCAGTTGGTGAGACAACTGGAGATGAAGGTGGTGGCTCAACTGTGTCTAAAAGATGTGCCCGTTCATTGGCCCTTCAGCCTCTAGACTAACTAGATCAACCCCCTCAAGTACCAGGACGGTCTCCTCGGCCACCAGAAGGAGTCTCTTGCAGCTTCCAACAAGTCTCTCTGGTGTGGCGAGGTTTATGGCAGTAGTCACAGAAAAGTTGATCCTTCTTAGTGGAAGGACAAGAACCACGAGTCATACGCTCGCCATCACGAGGGAGTGCAGATACCAGGGCAGAGCGATTAGTAATGGTAGGCAGAAGCATAGTAGAGCGGCGACTCTTCTCATTCTGCACAAAAGCAAAGGCTTCCTGGAGAGAAGGAAGCACATCCATGCCAAGTATTCTTCTCTGAACCGGATCATACTCCACATTTAGGCCTTCCAAGAACTTGAAGACCCGCTCTTTCGCCATAAACTTCTGGTAACCAGCAGAATCAGTAGGACAGACATGCTTGTAATCTTGAAGGTGATCAAGCCATTTTCACCCATTGCTAAGGAAGGTAAAATACTGAAGGATAGTCTGCTCACCTTGTATTGACCTTTCAATGGAGCGACGTAACTCGAAAGCCTGTGAGAAGTTTCCCTTCCTGGAGTAAGTAGTTGCTACTGCCTCCCAAATATCCTAGGCAGTGTCCATAAACAAGTAGCCCCTCTCAATCTCAAGAACCATAGAATGGATCAACCAGCCCATAATCAGAGAATTGGTGATCTCCCATTGGTCATAATGAGGGTCGGTGATACTGGATGCCTGAACCCGCCTATCAACATATCCCATCTTCTCCTTGCTCTTCAAGAAAATAGTCTGACTCTGCGACCACGTTAGGTAATTCTGACCATTGAATAGAGAGGTGGTGATGCTAAGGCCAGTGTGGAGGTTATCAGTCATAGTGGAAGGGATAACAGAACTCTTGCCCCTGAGATGGCTGAGAGGTAGTAGATTCACTGGTCAAATCCACCATGAAGATTCTACTAATTATTCCTCAAACACGATGTTAATCACAAATCTAGAAGGTAAGAGTGGAGTAACAAGCACAACAGTAACTATAAAAGCATAAAGAATGAAGAATCCAATGTGGTTTTGTTTTTGTACTATTTTTACATCACCAGAGTTCTGTTTTTGTTTTTTGTTTTTTTTAGTTTGCTACAGTACTGTTTGTACCTTACCAGAAGACTGTGTATAACATCACCAGTCCACTACATAAGAGACGACTTCGTATTGCATCACCAGAGGACTTCAACCAGACCAGCAAGAAGGCACCGGGCCCCTGGGAACCCTCGGTAGTGGCTGGAGAGGCCTACTGAGGGAGAGAGAAGCTTGGGTGACAGCTGTCGAAGGGAGAGAAGGGACTGGGAGACCTGGGTGGAGGCTGTCGGTGTTAGACAAGGTTGGGAGACCTGTTTGGGGTTGTCGTCTGGTCTACAAGAGAGAGGAGATCACCTATAGTGATGGGTAACAGAGAAGAAGAGTTGGCTAGGTGATGGCTCCAATACTATGTAAGCTTAGAGAAGAGAAAGAGTTAGGGAATGAGTTAGACTTCATTCCCTTTTATATTAATAATACTAAGTAATTACAAGAGTGCCATTAGGCACAATATATGGGCCAACCCATTACACCAATCAAGGGAATAAATAAGAAGAAAATACAATCACTTATTTCCTATTCTAACAACTCTATCTCTATAGCTTTTTTTTCTTTCTTTTTTTTTTTTGTGTATGTGTGTGTGTTTAGATCTATATTTGAAGACCTACAAGAACCTTCCAATAACCTTTGCAATTTTTCAGATCTCTCTTTTACCTATATAGTTATTTTTTTTTCAAATCTATATGATGAATTTTTTTTTCCTTCAAATATGTTGTTGATCTTTCGGGATCATACAATACATAGTGACCAAAGTCAGATCTGCAATTGTGAACATGGTTTCTTTCCTCTTCTCTTTTGCTTGTTAAAAGTAGGTCGGTTTCATCTGATCCGACAACCAAACTAATCAAACCGAGTTTTGCGGTTTTGAACCATACATTGGTCGGAAACGGGTGGGTTTTTTCCAATCCAAGCTAATTGGGTCCGGTGATGGGTTGTTGATGAAACCGAGCTAACTCGACCCCGTGAACACCCCTAGTTGCTTAGTTGGAGAACCGCTTGCCCTAGTTGAGGGAGGCCCGAGTTTGAGTGTCACCTGGAGGGGGGCACATTTGTTTAGAGAATGAGTGTGGTTGTGCTTCGTGCGGCTATCCCCAAATGCTCAAGTTTGAGGCTAGCCTTGACAAGCTGCAAACAGTGATATCTGGTTGCTCTAGGTGTCTCTTTCGGAGTCTGACACATGGAATAGGGGAACTGACGTTGCAATGTGGGTAAGCCACGTGGATGGTGTAACCATGTACCTAAACCTTGCATAATTTTTTTTATTTATTTATAATTTTATAAAGGCAAATGCTAACAATTGCCCCCTATATATTGTTTAGTGTTGGGAAGTGTGTATAAAGTGTTTTGAAAATATGTAAAAATATTAAAAAGTGTATTGATTTTAGTAAAAGTGTATTGAATTTAGTAAAAAGTGTTGTATTCTTCAAAAAAAAGTTTCATTTACTTGTGCCCTTAGGGCACTTGTTAGCAAGACCTTTTTATAAAAAGTATATTAAAATGACTTCTTAAAGATACGTTTATTTTTTTTATTTTATTTTTTTAATATTATTTTATGGGGGGCTTACTTTCTATTCATGATTGCCGAAATTGATTTTGGAGCTCTTCAAGGGGTCAGTTGGTGCAACAGAAACTGATAGTTGTTCTTCTACTGGTTCACATTATGTAAGGTTGTATTTTTCCTTTCTTGTTTATGTCCACACAGTCAAACTTAGCAGGTTTCTCAACACATTTATTTTGATAAGCATAATTTTGAGCAATACCAACATTTAAGTTTAAAATAAATTAACTTGACCTTCTCTTTTTCAGATGGAATTTATCATTGAGACCTCTTCATAATTCCTCTCAACTTTTGGTCATGGTCGCTATTTCAAAAGGTTTTTGAGGCTTTGCTTTCGTGGATCATTCTGAGATTCATTTCCTATGACATTCAATTTCCCAATATAGGTAATTGGCTTTTCTATGTAGGATTTCATTGCTTCTAATGTGTGCATCTATCTCTGATCAGCGTAGACAAACATTCTTACACCTGAGATTTTGAATGATCAGTTGCATCAACCAGCTTCAACGTTATTTAGTGCTAAAAAAATGAGTGCCTATAGTACATTGGAGCTCACTCTCAGCGAAATTCTTCGTGTGGTCAATCCCTTGAGAGACGATCGGTTGGCACGACATCAAATCATTAACGAGCTTCGAGTTGTTGTTCAATCTGTGGAAAGTCTTAGAGGTACTTAATGCTGAATTGTTTTTTTTTTTTTCTCCAGTTGTGTACAGTAATAGCTGAAATGCAGAGTCTTCTTTTGCAAACTTTCTTGGTTTGCATATTAGATGTAATGGGAAATGGGAGGGCTTGTTTCGATGCTCGGCAGGAATGAAATTATTTGACTTCGTTTTCTGGAACATTGAAGTCGGAGAATCATCACCTGCAAAAACATATCATGTTATTGTGTCTTATCACTTGACTATTATTAAATGGGTTGTTGACTAAATTCTGTGTTTGACATATATTTGTATATAAAAATTATATATATTTTTTGTTTGATTTGCTTCATGCTTATACTGATCAAAAAATCTGCTTCATGCTTACTCTGGATGGTTCTCTAGTAGACCCTGATGTTGTTCATAACAATTTAATTCTCAACTTAAAAAGTCACAGCTTGCTTTTCTGTTAGATGCTGATGATGTATTAAAACTGAAGTCACAGACACTAAAATTTGCATTCACCTGCTAAACCATTTTTGTTATAGTGTTGTTGGAATTAGAAGCTCCAAGTGGAAGGAGATCCCAGCATTGCTTGTGAGCCAGGAGTTGGAATGATTGTCACGTTAATACAATATTAATAAGGGAACTTTCCTTCTCCACACACACACACCAAAAAAAAAGGATTTTTTAGAACAAAACAAGTTTTGATGAAGGAAAATGTTGCGTCTCCTATGCAAAATTCTATACAATAGCTTCTAATTTAAAAATTGATTAAGAAAACTTCTGATTATTTTGTTTGAATGCTTGCAACTAAGTGGGTTTGATCGAGCTAGGGGTTTGAGTGGGCTAGGGGTTTGATCAAGCCCAGAACAAGGTGTACCATGCTTGCCAAACTTGACCTAAAACGCCGAAGCCCATCCTGAGCTCAATTTATTGAACTGGGGTAGGCTTGGGTTGCCCA